GCAGCTGGAGAAGAAGCAGCCGCCTCCGGCGCCCCCCCTGCCCCCTGCCCCTTTGTCCTGCCAGGCGGCATCGCCTCCCGAAACGAGGATTATCCCCGCAGCTGCAGAGCATGGTAATGTTAAAAGGTTTAGGAGATTCCCAGGGATAACGTTGATTGGGATATTCAGAGAGTCCTTTAAATTCCTGCCTCTGCCAAGAAGTCCTAATCTATGAAAACGGGAGACTGTTTCCTTCTTGGGAGCTGGTCATGTTGACATTATCTGGGTCCCTCCCTGGGGCAGATTTTTTTTTATTATTAGTCATTACAGTCCCATTGGCGATATTTTGGTTTTCTGTGTCAAAACTGGAGGGAAAGCTTCAAAATCCCGCTTTGGAGAACTCAGCAGGATTGCATTGTTATTTTGATTTCATAATGCAGGCCAGAATCGGGAGGAATGATTTAAACAGCTTTCGAAATGGTGGGTCAAAACATAAATCAGTCGCCTCTCTCTGCTAAGGGCTGCAGTGCACTGTTTCTCAACTGTGCCAACTTTCAGATGTGTGGAATTCCCCGGCGAAGGTTGAGAAACACTGCTGTTGTGGCAAGCGACTCAACGAGGGCCTTTGGACTGAGCCATCATTGCTGATGCTCCAGAAGGCTGATCTGCGTTAAATTGAGGCCCAGATGAATTTTTCTTGATAATAAGATTTGTGGAGATTCTGTCATCCACGATTGTCCCTTTTTCAAAAGGCAACTGGGCTTTCTTGATTTTTTTCTCCCTGAAAACCTTTTACTTCTCATCCAAGAAGCTTCTTCAGTTCAGTTCAGAACCGAAGAAGCTTCTTGGGTGAGAAGTGAAACGTTTTCAAGGGAAAAAAACAAAGTCCAGTTGTCTTTTGGAAAAAGCAGCTTTGTGTTTTCTTGGAAATGTCTCTACTTCTTGTATCTGAATTGAATGTGAGAACTGGACTTTCTTGGGAAGTGTTTGGGAAATGCTCACGGTGTCTTTTTTTCGTTCTGCTTCGGGTAGCTTCTACGGGACTGGCCTCATAGCGGGCCACGGCTTCACCAGCCCGGAGCGAACCCCTGGGGTCTTCGTCTTGTTTGACGATGACCGCTTCGGCTTCATCTGGTTAGAGCTGCAGTCGTTCAGCCTCTACAGTCGCATCAAGGTCTCCTTCCAGAACGCCGAGGCGCCGTCGCGGGAAGCTTTTGACGAGATGCTGAAGAACATTCAGTTACTGAACTCATGATGGTGGCCATCCAGGAACCTGAGGGAGGAAGGATCCCCTTCCCCTATCATGGGGGTCTGGGCGCGAGGGGCCACGTGTCCTCGTCCATCCGGCCTTTTTATCAAATTGTACACCCCCCTCCTCCTCCCCCTCCTCCTCCTCCATGCGCTAATGTTCCTTTCCCAATATACGATGTATAGTTTGTAATATAGCTTTATTATATTGGGAGGGCAGCTTGCATCCTCGTGTCTTCATTTTTTCCCAACCTTCTTCAGAAGTTCGAGGCCCGAGTTCGTGCAAACACACACGCACACGCGCGCACACACACACACACACACACACACACACACACTCCTAGCCTCTCACAGACAATGGAAATAGTCTCAAAGCAGGCTTGGGAGAACACGAAACCAACCAACCACCCCCCCACTTGGCCGATTCTCCCCCACCCAACCCCCCACCCCCGCAGCAAGCAAGAAGACTCTGCGGTTTTGGGCTTCTGCTCAGAATTGGCTCTTCTGACTTTAAAAGCCTCTTTGGTCTGGGCCAGTGATGGCGACCCTTTTAGAGACCGAGTGCCCAATCTGCAACCCAAAACCCACTTAATGTACCTCCAGGTAGGCGTGGCCCATTGGGTGGGTGGGCTCCATTGGGTGGGCGTGGCTGCAGTGGTAACAGCAGACTGGGTGGGACTAAAAAGTTCAATCAATCAATTCCAACTTTGCGAGATCTTTTTTTTTCCCCGCGAGAAGTTGAAATTGAACCTTTTTTTTTTTTGCACGGCAGCGGAGACCTAAAGCAAAAAGGTTTTATAAAACCCAGCTGAAGGCCTAGGACTGGGGCGACGGTGCGCGTGCCCACAGAGAGGGCTCTGCGTGCCAACTGTGGCACGCGTGCCATAGGTTCGCCACCACGGATCTGTGCTTTTTGTTAAATAGAACAGAGCTGCTAATGATCTTAAGATTTAGAAAATATTAAACCCAGCTACCCCAAGCAGCTTTTCTTAAAAAGTAGCCATGAATAGAACTCTGTTTGCTTGGCATTTTTTACATGGTGGCTGTTCTTAGCATGAAGAATAATATTGAGGTCTGTTAAGCAACACGCGGGAGAAAATCTCCCCCTCTTCCAAAATTAACTAGCCCTGTGAGAGCATCATCCTCCAATCTTTGCCACCCTCAGGTTTTTCCCTTAAAAAAGTTTCTTCCCAAAGCCTGTGTGCAACGTTTGTACCTCAGAAGAAAAGAGGGGGGCCTTGTTAAGATGTTCTTGGGTGTGACGGCAGAGTCAGAAAGGTCAGACTGCTTTACGTTCTGATCTTGCCTGTTCTTGAAACACACCCACCTTTTTTGTCCTGGATACAAGCACAGGTAGAGGCCGCAGCGATGTCGCATATAATTCCCGTCACTTGTGCAATAATGCTGTGATTCCAAGCTCCTTTGTGAACCCCCAGATACGCAAAATCCATGCAGTGAAATGCAGTCAAGTATCTGGGACTCCTGTCTCAATTTGCATCCTCTGAAGGCAGCTGATCCTTTGACAGTGCCGAGCCTGGGCCGGGATTCCCCTAAAGTTAGTCTAGACCAGGGGTAGGCAGCCTTGGCTCTTTTATGACTCGTGGACTTCAACTCCCAGAATTCCTGAGCCAGTGCTGGCTCAGTGCTGGCTCAGGAATTCTGGGAGTTGAAGTCCACGAGTCATAAAAGAGCCAAGGCTGCCTACCCCTGGTCTAGAGCAGTGGTTCTTAACCTTTTTGAACGAATCGCCCCCTTGAGCCAATGAGGAAGTTGTCATCGCCCCCCTCCCCCAACGTAACCTCTCAATCACAACATAGGAAATAATTCTTCAATTTATGCAAACACTTTTTTTGTTTTCTTTAACATTGTCATCAGGACATATTGATGCAAATAATTTATTTCCAGTCTTTTCCCCAAATCTCCCATATTCTGGCCCATGGCGCGCCACAAGGCTGCTGCGCAACGCGCATGAAGATAAGCGGTGCGTCTTCACATATGTATGGCGTTCTGTACTGAAGCTAGCTGGAGGAACATTTGAAAACAATTCAATCCACTAATAGCGATCATCTGATGTTTTTGTACGACAAATATACAGCGATTCACTGTACGGAAAAGTCTCAAAAGTGTCCCCAAAACTTCTCGCTTCATCGCCCCAATATTGCTCCCTTTTCATTCCTTCGCCCCCGTGTTGCCCCTTTTCATTCCATCGCCCCCCTGAAAAATGAAATCGCCCCCTGGGGGGCAATATCGCCCAAGTTAAGAACCACTGGTCTAGACCACAGGTCGGCAACCTGCGGCTCCGGAGCCGCATGCGGCTCTTTGAGCCTTCCCCTGCGGCTCCCAGCCTCCTCTGCCTTTGCAGAGAGAGACAGAGACAGAGAGAGGCAATTGCATTTCCCTGCTTCTCTCTCTCTCTCTCTCTCTCTCTCTCTCTCTCTCTCTCTCTCTCTCTGTGTGTGTGTGTGTGTGTGTGTGTGTGTGTGTGTGTGTGTGTGTAAAAAGAGAGTGCACTCACAGTGTTCTCCGAGGAGCTGAAAAGCTTTCTGGGCGGAGCTCCTCCCTTTGCTGCGTCTCTGCAGGAAGCAGGAAGCAGGAAGGGCAGGAGAGAGCTAGCTAGCCCAGCTAGGCTGACTCAGGAATTCTGGGAGTTGAAGTCCATGAGTCATAAAAGAGATGAGGTTGCTTACCCCGGAGGTTGTTGGACAACAGCTTGAAGCTTGCCAGGTGAGCAGCAGATAGGAGGGGGGGGGGAGAAAGAAAGAGAGAGAAAGAGAGAGAGAGGGAGAGAGAGAGTGGGGGAAGAGGAGTGGCAGACCAAGGGCAGATAGAGAGGGAGGGAGAGAGAGACCTTTTTGACATCTAAAATGAAGATAACACTGCATATATCCTTTTTTTACCTGTGTGTGTATGTAATTTTATTCTCTTAAAGCATTCTCTTGGTGATCATTGTTTTAATAGTATGGATATTCCCAAGAGTCATATTTTTACTTTTATTTTTAATGTGTATATGTGTGTGTGTGTGTGTGTGTGTGTGTGTGTGTGTGTGTATACACATATACACATACACACACACACACACATACACATACACACACACACACACATACACACACCTATAATAAAGGTAAAAAAGGATATATGCAGTGTTATCTTCATTTTAGATATCAAAAGGGTTTTGCGGCTCCCGGTGTTTTGTTTTTGGTGGGAAACAGGTCCAAGTGGCTCTTGGAGTGTTTTGGGTTGCCTACCCCTGGGCTAGACCAATGTTTTTGAACTTCAGCAACCTTTAAGATGGGTGGGCTTCGACTTCCACAACCCTTAGAGTGGAAGCCTACCCAATCTTCAAGTTAATGAGATTCAGAAACACCAGTCCTGACTCCCACTTTTCAAGCTTGGGGCCTTTAAAAAGAAGGGACTTCAAGCCGGCTGGGGAATTCTGGGAGTTGAAGTCCACCCCTTTTCCACCTGCCAAGGTTGAGCTCCATCCTCGGTGAGTGTGACACATAACTGGCAGAAACTGCTGTTTTCCCCTCCTCTCTTTGGGGAGTCGTAGCTTAGTTGGGACACAGTGTCCTACTGGTAATGCTGTTCCGTAATCATGGATACTTCTCCGCCAGCTGTCCTGGATCATCCCCAACGTCAGCGCTTCGTACACCCATAGATCTATTTTCCTGTTCGTTCCCCCCTCCCTCCCAAGGCAGAAAAAACTGCCCTCTGCTTGATTGTAATATTAAGGTTCCTCTGCAGGATAACAGATGACAGCTCCCGTCTGTTACAGCTAGAGTTGCTTGGCAGATAAATCTCTCTTTCCCTAAGCAGAACAGAACAATCCCAAGCAAAGGCTGAGAGGGGGGCCGTGGGAGGCTCAGGCAGCCAGGAGCCCCTGGAAAGGGGCCAGAAGCTGGACTGGAGATGCAGCCGAGAGGAAAAGGAAAGAGCTGAAATTTGAGAACAAGGTGAGGTTTGGCGCCTTTACCTGAATACAGAAGAAATTGGCAGCTTCTCGGATATAGGAGGACCCCCGAGGACCCATCTAGGTTGGGGAAGGGCGAGGGTCCGTTAGTCAGCTCTTGAGTAGGAGCCTCTTTGTCCAGGATGTTGGGGGCCAAAGCCTAAACCATTGGAAGGGCCACAGATTTTCTGCCCTAGAAGTTACTGTTTGGAAAGCCGGCTAAAATGGGCGGAAGGGACACCGGTGGTGCTTAGGTCTTCCCTCTCCGGCATGGCAGAGGGGGGAGGGGGGAGCCAGTTCCTGCAGTGGGGCCCCAACTGGAACTCTGCTTTTCTCACGGTGTTTCTCCGGTTCTGTTTCTTTCCACAAACTGGTCGGGCAGGAAAATGTGGCAAACACCTCCAGAGTCCGCAATAACCGCCAGCGGGTGATTCTTTTTCTCCGTTCCAGCAGAAGCCACAGAATTCCCACTATGGGCTGGGGAGGGTTTTCCCCCTCCTTCCGTCCCAGAAAGGGCGAGGGGGCAGGAGGGCTGGCAAATCCCCAGTTGGCTCTTTTGGCACCAGGGACCCCCAGCGGGGCCAGCAGAACGTGGAGCATGACGACCGATGCTCCTCTATGGCTGGTGGCCAGCGGTGGTAATTCAAGCTGCCCCCATTCTGTCAAATCCTGGGCTGGCATTTGCAGGCCAAAAGGGGTCTTCCCCAGCCCCGTTTCGGAGCCAAGTTAAGTCGCTTAAGCAAAGCTCCGGCCAACTTTTTTTGTTCTCGGGTATTTAAAGCCAGCTCCAAAAACTCCCACTGGGAAATTGCCCCAGAATGCTAGTCTCTTGGAAGGGCCTGCAATGCGGGCGGGCGCTGTGCATGGATGCATGGATAAAAGCAGCTCTGCTCCGCTCCCCCAAGCAGCTCTTTTGTCTTTCTTCACTGGGGTGGGGGCTGTGCCTTCCCTGCTCTGCTTCTCAATTCCACGCAGAAGCTTTGCCATGGAGAGCGAAGGCTGCTCCTGCCTTCACAGGCCTGACTTGGGTTCCCTTTCTGGATTAGTTTATGAAATATATATTTTTTAAAATTTCAGGAGAAGGTTCATTATATACCCGTAAGGGAGAGGGAGAACGAACGAATGAATGAGGCTGTTTGCATTTAGGCTGCATTTGGGCTTTGATGGGTGGCGTACTGTGTGGGTCTCCCCCTCTAAGTGCAGGCATTAAGCGTGGCGGGCGGTTTTCTCTTCGCTGGGCATGACGTTCTCCTCCAATCAGAGAGCATTCCTCTGCTGGTGGCTGAATTTCCTGCCACTGCAATTGTTGGCCTGCTGGGATTCCCCAAATCAGGGGGGCATCTGTGCCCCTTGTAAAATGCAGTTCGACCTTATGGATGTGGATGCGGTGTGGAATGGCCTGCCTGCTTGGCAGGAGGTAAACAGGAATGTTGATCATCCCTTCCCTTCTTTTATCTCCCTTCCCTTCCCACCACCACGTGCATTTCTGAAATGTTGTGGCCGCTGGCCCACATTTCACAGGAGCCCCCCAGTGGTTTTCCTCTCTGGCAACTGCTGCCCTGGAGCAGAGCGCTCCGGTTTTACAAGTCGCTTTTCCAGTTTCAGATCAGGATAACAACGACAACAATAAAACATTTTGTGCATTTGCAACTTGCCTTCTCTGACTTACATTACTGCAGTGTTTCCCAAACTTGACAATTTTAAGGCATGAGGACTTCAACTTCAACGCTGGCTGTGGAATTCTGGGAGTTGAAGTCCACATGCCTTAAAATTGTCAAGTTTGGGAAACACTGCATTACTGCTTTATACATTAAATCCATGTTTCTCAACCTTGGCAACTTTAAGAGGTCTGGACTTCAACTCCCAGAATTCTTCGTATCCCTGTGTTTGCTTGAACCCCCAAATGTTCTGCCTGTTTTGCAAGACCGTCAGGCAGGATAAAAGGGCCGTCCCAGCTTTCCACGTTTCCAGCATAGATTTAAAGTGTACCTTTACGCATTCTAAATATTTTGTTTTTCTGGAGTCACGTAGCACTTTTATATATATATATATATAAAAAAATCCCTTTGCAGTTCCAACAGCCTGTCAACCTCCGGCCCGCATTTCCCCATCGTCCCATCCCTCGGTGACGTCCCAGGTTCTCAGCCTCGGAAGGGCATTCCCGAGCCACGCGCCTCCCCGCCCCCGCAGCGACACCGGCGCTCCCAGCAGCCGCGTTCACACGGCCGGGCCGAGGAGAGGCTGGCCAGGCGGTGCCAGAGCTGAGCCCGCTTTTCTCCCGACTGGCGGATGCTGCGGAGGGCGAGGGGCTCGTCTGCAGCAGGGTTTTCCCCCCCCCCCCAGATGTTGGCCGCCGCTGCGCGTCCGGCTGGCCCGGGCTTCCTCCGGCTCCTCCTCCTCCGGCCGCCCCACGTGGCAGCTGCGGAGCTTCCCCCCCGCCCGGCTCCGCCTCTGCGCCCTGTTGGCCCCGCTGGCAGCAGCTGGAGGAGGCGGCGGCGGCCGAGGTAGGAGCGGCGTGGGGCCGGAGCGCGGCGGGCAGGGCGCCCCTGGGCACGTGCAGAGCGCCTTGCCTGGCCCGGCCCGGGCGGGGAGGCGAAGTGGGGAGCAGGGCGGGCCGGGAGGATCCGTGCAGAGAGCCCCCTCCTGCCTCGGCTTCGCTGCCCTTCCGTGTCCCCCGTGCGGCTCTTTTCCAGCGGCTCAGCCTCGGTCCTCGCTTCTCGGGCTCCTGGGCATGGGCTGAGCGCTACAGAGACCCGAGCGAGCTCTGTCCCCGGCTGCCGTGCCTTGCACGGTCCGAGCGCAGCTGGCGTGCATGCGGTGCAGGTGCCCCGGAATGACGCCTGCCCCGCGGTCACCTTTCCCTCCGGCTCCCGCAAGCGCCTTTATCTGCAGGGCTGTTTGCCTTGGCTGCCGGTGGAATGAGGAGCGGGGCTGGAGCTTTCCTCTTCCCTCCTCCCGCTCTTTCCGTTTAACGCTGCGACTCCCGGCCAAGATCCGGTCAGAGCTGTAATGGGTTCCCTTCTCCCCCCCCCTTTTTTTTTTTTGCTGTCTTAAAAAAGGCATCAAACCTGCCAACTGATCGGAGTCAGTTTCCTGCTGAAGAATAGGAAAGTTCGCGAGTCCTTTGCAACAAACCGTGGTTTGGTGGCTCGGCCTGGATAAGGTGACCCAGGTGAGATCGGAGGGGAGGGAGGCATTTCCTGGGGGTGGGGGGTGTGGCGACGTTTGTCTTTTGCAACTTATAGAAAAGCAGGGCGGATGGCATTTACTGGACAGCCTTGATTCAGAGACAGGGTTCACAGATCTAGTATCTGAATTGAATAGAATAGAGCTGGAAGGGACCTTGGAGGTCTTCTAGTCCAGCCCCCTGCTCATCGGGTGATTGGCTGGCTCAGCTCTCCATTACCCCACTGATAATTCTAACAAGCAATCTGGACTGGTGCAAAACAGTGCAATAAAATATTGTTTAATTTCTGGTGAATGTCTATGGTGCTTCCTGGTCATCCAGGTCAGGTGCTTTTTCCCAAAATGTGCTTTTTCAAAAGGCAGCTGGACTTTCTTGGTTGTTTTTTTTCCTTGAAAAGGTTTCATTTCTCATCCAAGAAGCTTCTTTGGTTCTTCTAATTCCTGGCAAGAATGGCAGGTGAAGGCAGAGTTTTTTCAATGTATTCATTTTTCTGGGCACCCAGCTAGGTGGCAGCGCTTAGCCAGCCTTGAAAAGCTCGGCAGCCTCTGAAGCCTTAGGAGGGGGGACTGCCAGGAGATTTACTAAGCAAGTGGAAGGTTTATACATCGGCATGCAAACTTTTAAAGCTTGGAAGGAGTTTTTGTTGGCAAGACCAGCTAGCTGAGCTGGCTCCTGGCTGTCAAGGAAGGGGATTTGTGGATGGTGGGGAGGTGACGAACAGCTGCTTGGAATTTCTTTCTGGACCTGCTTTGGTAGAGGTCCTATTCTGCAGGGCCGGTTGGCACATCTGGAGGCTTTTCTCTAGGCCAGGGGTCTGCAACCTTGACAACCTTAAGACTTGGGGACTTCGGCTCCCAGAATTCCTCAGACAGCTTTGCTATCCTAGGGCCTAGGCCAGGGGTAGGCAACCTTGGCTCTTTTATGACTCGTGGACTTCAACTCCCAGAATTCCTGAGCCAGCATGGCTGGCTGGGGAATTCTGGGAGTTGAAGTCCACAAATCATAAAAGAGCCACGGTTGCCTATCCCTGCCCTAGCTTTTCTTCCTTCTTTCTGTAGACCTGCTTTTAACATCTGTGATAGCTCTTCGATGCATTAGTCAGTGGTGCCGTTTTGTGCACCATTTCCTTTTATCTGTGAATCTTTACAGTTTTGTCTCATTTTCAGCCCTATTTTGAGAGAAGATCTGCAAAGGTCAACCCCCCCCCATATTTAAGGCCATTCTTTTGGGGTTGATGGAATCTAACCTGTAACCTGGGTCTTTTGACTTTAACTTGCGAAAACTTTCACAATTGCATGTGGCTGGGAGTTCCACAGGTGACTCAGATCATACCTGTGCCAGATCTGCAGCCAACGAGCACTTGAACCTGTGGTTGAGGCCTTGCAAAGAGATCACACTGGTTTTCAGAAAGGTGACCTCCCTACTTGGCCATGGTTTAAGGGCAAAACCTTGCATGCTTGTTTCCCCCCAGTAATGAAGTGGAGCCAGTTTCACTGAGACCAAATGAGACAATTGCTTTTTTCCTCTGCTCGTTTCACCATGAGAAATGACTTTTCATTAACCTCTGCCTCCTATTTGTAGAAGAGGGAAGTTGTAAAATACACATTGCGGCATTTTTAGAAGCAAAGTCAACAAGCTGGATTCTTGCTTTACATTTGGCTTCCAGGAGATGAATATACAGCAAACGGGTGTATTCCGGATCTGAATTGGTGGGGTTTTTGTGCGTTGCACTAAGTCCCATCTGCAGGTTGAGCACAGCTGAGAAAAAGCAGAGGGTAAAAAGTGTGATTTGCTCGGATGAGCTTTCGTGCGTAGCTGAGGGTTGTGGGTTGAGACGTTAAGCAAGACAGGTCCTGGCCTTTCCCCAAGACGGAAATGCTGATATTTTTCAAGAATTTCACATCTGTCCAAAATGAAACCATTTCTAAATCAGTGGTTCTCAACCTTTTTAATGCCGCGACCCCCCAACCGGTCGTAAGTCGAGGACTACTCAACCGGTCGTAAGTCGAGGACTACTCAACTGGTGCAGCACCGTTTGCAGAATGGGACTTTGGGCGGGCTCAGCAGGGCAGAGACAGCCTGGACAATTCCTATTGGCTTTTGAAAGCCAATAGAATTAGACTCTATTCAAGAGAGTCTCTTCGATTGGCTTTCAAAAGCCAATAGAATAAAAGGGAGTAGCACAGCTAAGGAAAAGGGGGAAAAAATGGCGGACTGCGTTGTTTGGCGACCCCCGTGAAATGGTCGTTCGACCCCAAATGGGGTCCCGACCCACAGGCTGAGAACCACTGTTCTAAGTGATCTCAGGAGGGGCAGGGCCATCAGTCCAGCTTGTGGATATTCTTGCGCTCCACCGTCTTCGCACGAGCAGGTTAGTACAGGTGGTCCTCAACTTACGACCACAATTGAGCCCAACATTTCTGTTAAGTGAGACAGTTAAGTGAGTTTTGCCCCATTTTACGACCTTTCTCCCCATGGTTGTTAAATGAATCACTGTGATTCATAAGTTAGGAACACGACTGTTCAGTCAATCCGGCTTCCCCATGGACTTTGCTTGTCAAAAGGCCGCAGAAGGGGGTCATGTAACCCCGGGACACCGCAACCGTCATAAGTATGAATCAGTTGCCCAGTGTCCGAATTTTGATCACACAACCAGGGGGAGGCTGCACAAGTCATAAGTGTGAAAAATGGCCTTAAATCATTTTTCAGTGCCGTTGTAACTTTGAACGGTCACTAAATGAACAGTCGTAAGTTGAGGACTTCCTGTATAAATTGAAAACTGAATAAAATGAACTCATCCTTATTAATGAACATAATGAGTTAATTTTCAAAGCTGAGGAGGAAGAATGGCAGTTTATTTGAGTTGGCCTGTGCCCTGGGATGATTAAATGCAGGGAACAGACACACGTGAGGAGAACTGAATCCCTTTCGAAGCAAAACGGAGCTGCCTTTTAATGCTTGAGCCATGAACACAACTAGATAATATCTCTAATTTCAGGAAGTCCTCCAATCAGCAATAGACAAAGAACATCGTGTCATGGATTAGCAGAGCCTGATATAAACCAGAAGGCCCTGAACAGCCCAGAGCATGAAGCTGTGATGTAGGCCACCAGAAGCAAGGTTGCGCTATTTTAAAAATAAGTTACACAACTGCCAGATCTCTTTGAATTTGCTAGAATTTGCTTTTCCGAATCTCAAAACCCAGAAATTCAAAGCAGCATTTGCAACGCGGATGGCCTGATGCTGGGTGCCAATACGGGACTTGCGTCATCCCCAACAAGACACCGCCGGTGATGTCAGCGGCACTTCTTAATTAAAGCAGCCGTATCACACCTCCTGCTTTTCTTAGCTTTTCCCCGTGAAATGCTTTTCCTGCACAGAACAAAGCGGCCCTTTCAAGAGAGCAGAAAGGGGACAACACACCCAATGGGAACCCAGGAGTCTGTCCTGCTGCATTCGGTGCTGTGGCTTGTTCCACCTTTTAACTCTGCCCTTGAGCGCCCGCCCCGTGTGCTGCCCCCCTCAGCCCTGTTTTCTCCAAGCATGAGCCAGGCGCTCTTCCCCAGCAAAAAAGAAAAAAACAAAGTGGTGGGCTGCAATTGTGTGTTGTGTAACCATTGGGTAATTCAGTTACCAGGCCAACATTTCCACCAGTGGCAGGGATGCTAGTCAACCCCCCCCACACACACACACAACATCTTTGCCCGTCCTTTTCTGAAATGGCGGAGCACTGAAACCTCTCGGCCGTGGCTTTCTGTGGCAAAGAGGTCAAAGCAAAGCTCTTTAAAGCAGAGATTCCTCCACTGGCAGCTACAGAATTAAGCTCTTTGGAAAGCTGCTGTCTTCTGCATCCTCGTGCAGAGAAAGAGGAAAGGGGGGGGGTTTCCTAGAAAAAAAACATTGGGCCATGAATTGGAAGGGCAGCAAACTCCAGCCAGTGTTGTGCAGTTGCAAAGGTGTGTTAGCAAGCTTAGCCAGGTCAAAATGTTCCTGGCCCAGCACTGAGCAAGGAGGCATCTTGTCAAACCTCTTTGATGGGTAGTAAGGATAGTCCTCAACTTAAGACTGTAATTGAGCCTGGAATCACGGTCGTATGTCGAGCCAGCCATGCTGGTCGTTAAGCAAATCACCACGGGATCATGCCCAATTTTATAACCTTTTTTTTTTTGAGCAGTCAAGTTCTTGGGAAAACTTGGCCAATGCCAAAACTCAACTTTAGGGCAGCTCAGCAAAACCACATTAGTCTCACCTGCTGTATTTCCTCATCCCAGAGATGCAAAGTGGGAACAATTCTATTGTCAACTTTTCATAGCTGGCCAGGTGGTCATGCCTGAATGGAGATTGCAAAAGCCTTTGCTGAGCTGGCGAAAAAGTATTTAATGCTTGACAGCCTATCCTTGTGCGAGCCTCGCCTTTCTGGAGAAACTATGCGCTTTGCAGCTCACACCTGTCCGAGGAGCTCAGGCACCACAGGAATCCAGGACTGTCTTGCATGACAAGTGTCACCAGGGATTCCGCTGAGAAGGAACCTTGATGGACTCACCTGTAGCCCAATGGCTTTCACTCCGAAAGTGGCACCCTGTAGCTTGACCAAATGCTGCATCATCAGCTAATAAAAAGTTAATCTTTAAAGTGCCAGAAGAGAGAATATTAAACAGGTGTCAATTTGTAGAACTGTAATAATATATTTTAGGAGTAAAATGACAGGTTTGCATCAACGATAGCTCCTTCTCTGACTCTTGTATGTTGTATGTTAGGAAGTGAGGTTTTCTAACATCCCAGTGGAAGCTCTTCTCTCCCACTGGTCATCTTTTCTCAAGGCTCAGTATAGTTGCTTCCTTCAGTCTGGCTTTGCAGACTTTGATCTCTAATTCCCACGTCTTCATTGCTATTTTCTGCACTTGCTCTGAATTGTTTAAAATGCAGTGCCCAGAGCTGAAAGTTAAATGAACTGCAATTTCCAGGAACCTCAATCTAGATGGCCA